CATACATTTAATTTTCGAAGCAATCATGTCACAAATATGTTGGTCTTTTTTTTTTAAAATCCTTGTAAAATCCTCTCTGAGTAATATAATCATTCAGTGTTTTAGCGTCTAATAAACTTTTGAATGTATTTATGTGTTGCACTCACTGGTAAAAACAGCCCTCCACCAGGACAGACCCCTGCACTGTTTTCAGTCTGAATGTGAATCTGTTGACCCCCATCCTCTTTCTTTTCATAGCTGCATGATCACCATTGTTTCAGTCAAATAATCAGGTGGAATATAAAACTGACAGCGGGACAGAAGGACATGACTTCTGTTGCTCTATTAGGATACTTTGTTGCTCAATATGTTAAAATATATTTGAACACAAATAAGAATATGATGTCAAGAATCTTTCTAACCTTATCTAATGACAGAGCCATCAAAGGCCTCACATCACTTCACCACCAGTCAAAATGTAACAATGTTGAATATCAATTTTTCTCCCAAAATGCACTTGGGTTATAGTAAAATGTGTCAACATAGAAGTTGAGTTTTCACAACAAAAGAGTTGAAGTTTAACAAAATTCCTTCTGGTTGTTAGGAAAGGTGATTTATTTTCATCCTTCACAGTTTTTCCTCCATCCCTTCTTTCTGTCTCTTCATATAAATTAAATTGAATAGGCATCAATTGTTGTCATTCATCTAACACTAAGTTCAGAAAGTGGAATATACTCCTTAACCATGTCATGCAGGCTCTGGTTGTATCAACATTTTATATCTAATCGTCTTTCATGTTTTAAACATATTGCATATATTGCCTCACGAAATCTACATTGCCCGACATAATTTACTACAGATATGTACAGTATATTTATATGTGGACAGGTTACCACATCCACAATACGTCAGAGTTAAAATGCAATTTTAGGTGATGCCATGAGTCAGTTTGATTTACTGTTTGCATGTTTTGTGCAAGTTATCAGAAAAACAGGCCAAAGGGGACAAATATTGATTTCGACAATATTCTTAGACCCACCAGGAATTTTGGAATCTCACCTTCAGTGTACAAAATGTCATCATCATAATTCAAGCAAAAAAACCAGACAAGATAATAACATAAGCCCAAAATATATGACAGTCAGTCAATATATTAATAATGATAATATTTTATTATATTCATATGCTGTGTGTAAAATTAACAAAATGCAAATATTTATTGTTAATTTCAATTTTATTTCAGTAAATGACAATGATATTTGCTATTTAATCTTTATCTGATTTACAAGTGGGTTTACACACAGATTCAAAAAGGGAGAGAAATTGGTGAAGACTGTCTTCAACAAATCAACAATAGCTCAAAATAAAAAGAAGAGAGAGAGATCAGCAGACACTGTCAGATGCTGCAGCAAATAATTCCAAAATTTTACACACAAACTAGTACATGGTTACGTACTCAGTATGGCAATTTGTCAAGCATCTACAATCCTGAGGAAATGCTGCAGCTCCCCCAGGATTTCACAGATCTACAGTTTGTTTTGACAAAGTCAGACATTATAGTTGGTGGGATCAACGTAGAGTAATTTGGGCCTTATGGTACAAGCGTACTAGAGCATGCAAATACATGCTGCAGTTCTGAATGTGTCAATCCATTGATGAGAAGTCCAGATATAAACTAATACATATGATATGGAGAGACAAATATGATGGAATCAAAAAAAAGTACTACTAAAGAGTGAGAGGATATAGGATCTTTTGAAAAAATATGAAATATTTCCCCACATAGAAATGTCTACACTTGTGAGGTTATTTACTTGCAGCCCAGCTGGGATGGCGTACGAACTGAGGGTCATGCAATGCTGGCACAATCATTAACTGAACTGACTTAAGTTCCCACAGTCAAAGCATGATGAGATGAAAAGAAGCTCCACTCTGAGACATTTATCCGTTTTTTTAGTGGGAATAAAAGTATGTGTCATTCCTGAATGGCCAAAGTTTTCATTGGTTCCATTTGTTTGGACTTGGTCGTTCCACAATGTGCCATCCTAAAGAACAGCAGAATTATTCATGTTTGGAAACTTGCTCACATGTTTCACAGCTGTAAACACAACTACAATGTTATGTAGCCTTTACACGCTCAGCTAATAAATCCACTTTTCAGAATGGAAAGATGTGAACAAGTGAGGGGTTGATGACTCAGTGTATACACCTATCACAGCTAGTAAGTCTACTATCAACAATAACGTGATGCAGGTTAAAGATAAATTGGTCAAGTATGAATTCATGAAGGAATGATGCCTGAGACTTGCCACATTTGCAAATCGAAGCTAAGTACAATGTTGCCGACACATTTCTTAAAATGTAACATCTCCAACCAGTTGCAGAGAATAGTTCTGCTCCTAAGGGAAAGTGAGGAGGAAATGATGCCAAAAATGAATAATAAGAAAAAAAATAAAAATAAAGGACTGAGTTCTTTTAGCATTTCTTGGTGTTTATTTTTATCCCTTGCCTTTGTGTGTCCTTGTGAGTGTGTGTAGTTTTATACTCATAATATAGTGAGACATCTATGAATGGGCTTCTCATCCTTCCAACCTGCCATAGTTTTAAAGGACCAGGCCCTCATAGGCAGGACCCTCGGACTCAGGGGATTCCCTCTGCAGGCGAAGATGCTCCAGTGTGTTGTGGAAGTGTTTGTTGATCTGCTCCGTTTCCTCACTTGCCTCCAGATTGGGAAGATCTTCCCTTATCTTTTGGATCAGCTGATTTAATACCTGGACAGTCACCTGGAAGGGTGGAGAATGGAGGACATTATAAGAGTTCCTGTGTGCAGTAATATTAACAGAACTTTTACAGACTGCATTAATTATATATATATAAGGAAATGTCTGTGTGTTTTGAGGTTTAAAACAACAGCTTGGAACAGATTTCTTTTGGAGTCCTACCGCATCGTTTTCTCTCTCATAGAAGCAGATGTATCTGTTGAGGATTTCAATGAAAAGCTGGACTTGCAGCGATGGATCCATGCACTGGTTGGCAATCTTCAGGGCTTTCTTTAGACACTCCATCACCCGCTTACCGTCACGGATCTAAAGGTGCAACAGTACTAGTTAGCAACAACAGTGTCAAGTGTTAAGTGTCCATGCGATGATCATGCAAACTTCCAAAAGTCCAGTGTGTAAGATTTAGGTGAAAGGGATTTTTGGCAGAAATTGAATCTAAAATAATCCTAGTGATGTTTTTACTGAAGTTCACCACAGGTTTTATTTCATGTTGGGAAGGGGAGGGTGAGGAGTGTTCAGCTGCAACATGCAACTTCACCTCTAGATGTCACTAAATTCTAAGCACTGAAACTTTAAGCTACACAGAATGTGCTGGGGCACATACTCACAGCATTTACACATTTAGTTCCCTTTGGTGTACAAATATACAGAGAGTCAGTCTGAGCTCGATCTGTGACTTTACATAAAAATGGGCAAAGTGTCTCAACTTTCTCCCATTGTACAAAAAGGTGGAGCAGCGGGCTAAAGTTCCAGTTCATACAAATGAGTCAACCATGACTTATTGCAGTATTAGCAGATCACATTTATATCTGTATTTGCATATATCTCAAACACACCTCTTCGC